TGCAGGGGCTCTAACCTACCCTTGAACCGGTTTTTGGGAGCGAGAATTTTGGACGAGAATGTACCACCTATTAGTAGGCAACCGTGTGTTACACGGCCGTCGATGGAGTTAAGGTAATTCGGGTGCGAGGAACGCACTAAAAAAATCGATACTCATAAGTTGCCACAGTTCCGAATTGTCCTTTTTAATAGAATTAGCTAGTGGCTTAGGTAATGGATCGTTGCGAGAGTGATCCTAATTGGTATTACTGGAAAACCGATAGTTCAGTTCGAAAGTTTAAGTTTAGAGTATGGAATTAACGTAATAATTATAAAACATTGTGCTAAGAAAGGAGGATTGAAAATAAATAAAGGAGTATTTTTGTTAGAATCAGAAGGGAAAGATCGACGATATAAGAGGACATTGAAGCGCTGCCTAAAATGAACGTATAAGCGGAATCCCGAAAAATTGGCGAAACTAAACTGGAACGGGGAATTCGGCGAAACATCACAATAAAAAAGGGGAATCGTAGAAGCCCTTCCTCTCTTCTGTCTCTCTCCCTCTCACTTTTTTATCGTACCACGCGCTGTTTTCTACGGTCGCGACGACGGATGCGGACGAAACGATGCCGGAAACGGTGGTTGGGGGTAACGTTTGACATATTTTGTCCGGAAAACCGACAGATCAGGGATGGCACACGAGAAAGGGTTGGGGGTGGGGTTGGCGGAGCGAGCACCACACCTCACCTCTGCTTCTGACGTGGAGATTAGTGTCCGCCATTGTGGTGACGTCACCATAGTTAACACGCATTCAAACGACCGTGGTGAAACCGGCTCGTGAAACTATTGACCAACGCCGCGCGAATTTCTTCATTTCTTTCCCGCGTTCTCGTTCCTCGTACTCGCGTTTCTTGTCAATTTCGAAAACCGTTCGAACGAGACCCAACGGCTCGGCGGGGGTAAAAAGGGACCCGGTGGTGGACAGCAGGAAACGAAGGGGATGATCTATCGTCGAATCGTGCACCCGTTGACTATCCGAAGTCGGTACCTACCAACCGGTTGACAGATGAATGTGCGCGCAACCCCGAGGAACAATGGGACCGACCAAAAATTAACGGCATTGTCTTAACTTCGAATTCGGTCGGTGGCGGCTGGTGTGTTTGCCGCCGCGTAACCCCCGCGTAGTCGATTACCACGCGAAACAGGGAAGCGCGAGCACCATTCAGAAGAGAGCTTTCCGGGGAGCTTTCGATTACGCGCAACGGCGACGACGGATTGTCCCCGACGCGGCGCGACGTTACTGCCGGATTTCGAACTTTATGACGTGTAATTTTGGCTTTGACGTCCCCGGGAGATGTACGGCTGCACCTCTTCTTCTTACGCATAAAAATCCATGAACACGATGCACTAGATCAGTCTTGAACAGAGTTTAGTACGAACTTGTGTGAACACCCCTTCGTGGGAACAAATGAAAAGCAGCTTGCACGATTTAATAACAAATTAAACGTACTAACGCTAAATCACCGTTTACATTCTTTTAATTACTATCTTGCAAGCAAATGACCTAATTTCAATCATTTCTGAACGCTGTATTTAAGTTTGACTTTTGTCATTTCGTAAGTATATTCTTGTAATACCCAGCAGCGACTCCTTTATAACTGCAACCTTATATACTCAGCAGTATTTTAAATTCACTACCTATTGCACATTGTTACCTGAGCTTCGTCCAAGATGGTAGATACCCGTGTCCAACGTGAGATGGCGTGGTACATTTTCAGCGTGCGATCTAAACCAGGATATCCGAACATTTGTTCGGGGTGTCGATCAAAAATCTTCGAATAATGGCTCGATTATGCGATTTCGAACGGAGGAGCGCAGAGGCGAAACTGTGCTTCATTCGAGACGGCTGTTTCGCACACGCGAGGCGTTCCGTTGCGAAATCGCGTTATGCAATAAACGTAATAAGCGACCGATAGCAAACTGCTCGGGACGAGTTAAACAATTTATATAACAAGCTTTCTATAGCCAGCGGAGGTGTATCGAGATCTGCCGTGAGAGAACTCTTCTCTACCGCGTCCGATCGATCAATTAACCAACAGAATCAATTATTTCTGGCTATATTCGCTCGCTGTAATGAAATAAAGCAACCGGTCTTTAAAATTATAGGAATGAAAATTAATTTTAACCTTTTCTGCTCTATTTAGAGTGCGACCTGACACTCCGTTTCATTTCCATGCAGTTTTAGGTAACGGAATGAAGTTCATCGTCTTAAGTTAAATTTTCTATTAAAGTCACTAGAAAAACCTAAATTAAATCTGATAAAATAAGCTTCTACAATTATTTATAGTTTATATTCATACAAAGTTTCAATAAATTAAAGTTGTAATGAATGATCAATGTGTATTCTTTGAATATTCAGAATATACACGATGCGAACTAGAAGGATTAAAGCTAGTGTTTGTCTCGGGAAGAACAGGAATATGAACGGAGATGGAAATTATACGACAGAGGTTATTTAAAAACAATGTGGTTTATTTGAATCGCACAAGACATACACCGTATCTGCTATGTTTATAATTAACGGACCTCCCCGTGGAAAACCTGGTCAAAGGATAATGCGCGTCGCGAACTTTGACCAGCCTTTGCCCGAGAACGCCTTGCATCCTCGTATTGCCTTAATGTCGATCCTCGGTTTTTCTTACTTTTCACTTTTCAACTGTTCAAAAAATTGCCAGGTCGTGGAACCTAGTCTAGTTGCGTTGTGTGTTTAGAAACCGAGCTTCGGATTATTATTATTTTCTTTTTTTTTTTATTTACCCTGGATCAGAAGATTTCTTGCTAAAAATCCAATTTCCCTGCTACCGACACTTCTGTTTCTCATCTCGCGTGTGGCTCCGTCCCTTGCTTACTATATTATAGGAAATACTTCTTTGTTTCTTCATTATTTACCTTTATTTATTTAACTGTCTAGATTACTTCAATTCGCTATACTTCCGACGTTCTGCTCTTCGCATTTTTTTTCTTTGTCCTCTGGGATTATCTTTTATCATTTTACGATGGTTTTTACCCTGTGTAGAAACGTTTGGGATCGACCCACGGAACTCGATGAGAGACGGAACACGCGAAACGAGGCTAATCGATTAATTTTATCCGCGCGGAAGAAACTTCGTCAGCGTCACCGGGATTTCCAAGGATCGCTTTCGCGTGTTCGTTTTCGTCGTGTGCCGTCGAATCGAATCGCCCGCCGCGAAATTTTCGTGTGGAATCGAGATTCTCCTGTGTTTCCTTTTTTTCCTATGTTTGTTTCGTGAGGCAGGGAACTTGGTCCTATGTGGGATGAATTCGAATAAGAAAGACGAGAGAAACTTGTGGAACCAAAGCGCGCTTCTCGTTTAGCGAATTCCTTTCCGATCGTGTCAACGCGTTCGCGATTCCTTTCATTTTCGCAAGCTTTGGTGAAGGATAAAAGGTACACACGATCATGCTAATCCGTTCCCCCGTTTCTCTTTTATTTCTTCCTACAATAGGTCGCGCGCCGCGGTTTTCCCGCGATGATGAGCGATGAATAAAACGACGTACGCATGAAAAAGATTGATGCAATTGATTGATTATTATTATGACGATTTTATTCAGATTTTCACGTTCGAACGCCGAGACTATTATGCTCGTCTGCCTTATTCTCCGCCCGGTTATCCAACCTCCCTGTATTCGTCTCCCATTCTCTGTTTGCTACGGGCAGTGCGCCATATATTTACAATATATCGTATAAACGGAACCTGGCATGTACGTATTTCAAGAATCAATCTAACAAACTTTTTCCTTTAACTAGATAACGAGATTTTCATTTTTTTTTTTTGCCTTTTACCTAGAGCCGTACACGTCTAACACCGAGACAACTATCTTGATATGAGTTTTCCATTTCTCCTTTTAATCCCTTTATTATTCTTTACACACGCACATACTCGCACCGGGTATGCAGGAAAAATCGTGAATCTTTCTCTCTCTCTCTCTCTCTCTCTCTCTCTCGCACGCTATCGCTTTCATTCTTTCAACGTATCCACGCACACACAATAAATTGAGAAACGCGCACGCATTCGGGGAAACGCACGATCACTCCCAGTTACTCATTAACTTATTGCCTAGATCATTTTTTATTTAGGAACAGTCCCCTTCGAGAAAAATCGTTTACAACGAGGCGAGTTTTACAGAAAAACGAAATTATAGGAAACAAAGAAACAAAATAATCCGGTAGGCAATTACGGAACAGAAAATATACATAGTTCGATGGAACGCAAAAAAATAAAAAGGAAAATAGTATAAAGTGAAGGAAAATTCCGACGCCGGTGGCGTCGATCGCGCGAATACAATATTGTACCTCAGTCTTCGAATTCTTCCAACGAAAGAACGGAGAAGGAAAAAAATTAAGGATCAATTAACCAACCGTCGTCGTTTGGACGCGCGTCTCACGGCGATTTTCGCAGGATCAACGAGCTAAGCCCTCGATCCTGCGAAAGCCGCGCGCGATTCGATCGGCCCCGACGACAATAAATATAACCAACGAACAAACGCGCTATAATAATAATAGCGTCGGCGTGCCCCGCGGCTGCGAAGTGGCCATCAGAGCTTTTTCAACCACGGCATACTGTTCCTTCGTATAATTCCAATTTTTTATTTTCAACTGCTTGCAATAAATATATACGTATATATACTGTTGTAGTTAATTCTGATCAGTTAGTTCCGTGATATTTTGTTTAATTGTTCTATTCCGAATAATAGATTGAAAATGTAAATCGGATGGACACTTCGAGCGGACATTGGGCGACGGCGCCGATAAACCTAAACAACTTTGGCATCTTCTTAACCATTTAAAAACATCTTCTCGATATAATAATTTAATAATATCGGGATAAAATAATGAATACGGCGTCTGCAATGGTTGCATCCGCGTTAATAATAGTGGCAATGAATAATAATAATCAATAATAATAATGATAATAGTAATAATAAGCAATAATAGAACTGGTAATAATAATAATAATAATAATAGATAATAATAATAATAGGTAATAATACATAATAATAGATAATAATGACAATAAAAGTGCTATGATACACTTTTGGACACAGGATCGAGGGTAGAGTCTTAATATCTAGAAAAGAAAACGCGTCGCCTTTTTCTGGCTTTTTCTGTACATCATTAATACTAAATTCTAGTCATCGATACGTAACGATGGGGTTGTTTGTTTCAAGGATCGAGGGTGAGATTTCAAGTATCGATGTTTCGCGTTTTATATACATACAGACAGAGCGAAAATATCCAAATCGAATTCACTTACACGTAATTATTTTCTTCCTCTAGAAAGGAACGGCTCAACATTTTTTTGTCGTCTCGTTTTTACCAATCCTTTTTCTTAGAAAAAAAGAGGGACAATCGGTATCGATCGACGCTAGACTCGCTGTGCGATATCGGTGCAATGTACAAAAAGACTTTTTTTCTTACCGTCTTCCCCTCTCGATTCCTTCATCCCTCCTGCCATCGAGTTTGTCCCTAAAAATTATGTGTGTCCGCGGTATCTTCATATCATATAACGTAATGTACATACATAATACACGGTTCTCCACCACGCAAACACGTATATACATATATTACGTTATACAGTACGTATAATATCTTTCTATCGTTATTAAATAAATAATCTTCAAATGCGATAATAAAGTCACTATGTTCACGTTACCCTATGTATAATATTTATACTCTGTATAATTCTCCTCTGTATCTTGCAATATATATATATTTATATTTATATATATTTATACTCTTTATGTATATATATATTTATATTCATATTTATAGCGTCTTTATTTATAACTATTTATAGGGATATACTTTAAATAGCTGTTTGTTGAGACTCGCAAAATGGTAACCATTCGTTCATTTTTTCTAGTTTCAATTAAAATCGTCTAACGGACCTCGACCATCCGTCTCCGTCTTTATATCCTATCATCCTTTTCTCGTTTAGGACCCTGTCGTCCTTCAAATTCCGCTTTCTCGTTGTATTTCTTGTTTATGCTCCTCATCGTCGTTACGACCGTTTCCAGGTCTTCTTGATCAGTTGATTGCTCCTTGATCGACCTACCGCCTCTCCTAATCCTAAGAGGTCACCTTGATTTTAGCAGTGATCGGTGATCGTCTGGAGTATACTTCGTTGATCATTTGTTCGCGTTTCATAAACGCGTATCGCATTATCGTCCTCTTCTCGCAGAATTCGCTTTCCGTCTGCTCTGTCTTCTGGATCGCCCCGAGGAAGAAGATCCCTTCTTCAGTACACCGGGTAGGGTGGCCTGTGCGGCCACAGTGGCGGGATCGGCGGTAGGCTTCCGTTCCAGGATCAAGTGTCTTTGTTAGACAACGAAGATTCGTCTTCTTGACTGGCTGGGTACGGCATAGCCAGCTTCGGGCCCTGTTGCACCACCACCACGCACTTCCTCATATGTTTTTCCAACGTGCTCGGAACCGAGAACGGCATCTCGCAGAAACGGCACTTATACGTGTCCTTGCCGTGTCTGCCGTGAGTTTTCATGTGTCTCGTCAGCTTCGAGCTCTGGGCGCACGCGTACGAGCACAACTCGCACTTGTACGGCTTCTCGCCGGTGTGCGACCGCCTGTGAACCGTCAGATTGGAACAGTTTTTGAACACTTTGCCGCAGAACTCGCACGTGTCGTTCCTGCCGCTGCGTTCCTTCTTTATGAGAGGACTAGGCAGACCCTGGAGTGCCAGACTCGACGTGGTGGCCTTGGTCACTTTACAAAACTCGTTGTTTTCCAAGTAGTGCGGACTCGGTAGCCAGAGGCCGGAGAAGTCCGGCCCCGTCCTGGGAAAACCTTGACCGGAGAATATATTAGGCGTCGTCGAAGAGTTAAAATTCGTCGGCGACAAAGCGCTGTCCTTCTCCTTGTTGTTGTTCAAGGAGTTGGTCAGATTCGGTGGTTCCGATTTAATGAAACCGCACCTATGGTTCTCTTGCAGAGCCTGCCTGTAAGCTTCCGAGTATTGCGCTATGTTGTTCAATCCGAATTTCTCCATCAAATCGCCGACCAGACTCACAGGCTTCTGTTCCACCCTACCGCTACTTTCCTCACCGCTTTGACCCTGAGTAGTGCTCAGATCCTCCGGCGTGCTTTCCTCCATGTCTTCCATCTTCACCTTCATATCGCCGTCCTCCACGTCGTCGAGGTCCATGTTCTCGTCGCAGCTGGACCCGTCGTCCGGTGCCGTCTCGAAACTCCCCTGAGGACTGGCCGCGTTCACGTTCTCCTGGTGCTCGTCTCTCATGTGTTTCCTCAGTTCCGCGAAGCTTGCTACCTCCGTCTCGCATACCTCGCACCTGGCCGGCGTCGACTGACCATCCTGCGTGTTCTCCTGCTGGTACTGTCTCTCCTTATCTCGATGACTTCTTCTGTGCACTATGAGATTCGACTGGAACCGAAACTTCTTGTCGCACACCTCGCACGAATATGTCGTCTCCGATGCCAGATCAGTGATTATAGGCGTCGAGGCGACTGGGGGACTAGTTTTCTCGCTATCCGTCGAATTGTTGTTGTTGTGATGGCCAACTGGACTCTGACTGTAGCAGGGCGGCGAATTCTCTTTCTGATGATTACTGTGCGTCAAATTGTTCGACGCTGGGCTAGGCGGTTCCACCGGTTGACTGTGATTCTGCGTCGGCTGCTGTTGCTGTTGTTGTTGGAGTGGCTGTTGCGGTTGAGGTTGCTGTTGCTGTTGCTGCTGCTGCTGCGGTTGCTGCTGGACGGTGCTCGGCACCGGTACTGGTGGCACCGGGGCGGGCGGATTCGAATTCGTCGTTGAATTGCCGCTACTAGGAGGAGCCGCGCCTAAGGACGGATTAGCGAGGCTCCTTAGGCGCGCCGAGTAAAAATCCAGATTGGCCTCGAGTGGAGGAGGATGCGCCTGGCCGGCTAAACCGCGACCGTGCGACAGCTCGGCCAGGTTCGCCAGGTTCCGAGCGTTGTTCATCGAGTCCAATGAGCTACGGACCAAAGGATCGCCGAGGTTCAATCCATCCATTCCGCGAAGCGGATCCCCGAGATTCTGAAGGTTTCTGGTAGCGGTCTGCAACTCTTGAAGGCCTCTGTATCCAGCCAGCGGATTCAGGGCGAGAAAGTCCGGCCTGAACATCGGCGGGAAACTCCGCTCGAGGTGTTGAGGTAGCCTCAGGAAACTGTGAAGCGGGTCGCCGACCAAGGAAGCGGACGATTGAAGTGGTTGCCGGCTGCCGCTACTTCCGCTCGACGTCGTGCCACCGGAGGAGTTTCCCGCGGACGAGCTGCCGGTGGATTTGCTGCTCAGGTTCAAGTGATTAGGCGGACTTAGATGATGCGTGTGCGTGTGTGTCGGCGTCGGCGTCGGCGGACTCGGTGCAGGCGTGTTCGACGAGGAATTCGTTGACGACGACGGGGAGGTGTACAGACGGGCACCGTGAACGCTTTGCGCGTGCTGCAGGAGTTCCCAGGCAGAACATAGTCTTCTCGAGCATTGCGAGCATTGAAGCCATCGCGGTTCTGAAACAATTAAGAGTCGACGGTTTTGTTTAGCCACTTGTTGTCGATATTGATCAAGAGAAATTGTACAATGAGATTTTAAATAATGCTAGGATATTTCATCCTCGAACAAAAACCGTAACGGATGGTTAAGCCAGCGATAAGTTGCGACCACATCAAACAATCTAGGAGATTACCGTGACTCCCGATGATATATGGTGCAGCGGGTAAAAATCAGCCGTCAAAACGCGGGGGATAACTCGACAATACAGCTACGAAACATGTGTGTCTAACGCGTGTAACAGTGGAAAGGAGGCAGCTATCAATTCCGGTGGGCACCCTTAATTTCGCGGAATCAGGATAGATATCGAGTCGACCGATTGAATCCTGAATTTCGAACGGCGCGGCTGTGTCAAATTGCGGCCGAGCGGGGGCTTAAAAATAATATCTCCGAGAACGACGCTCGGATCCCATGGACGGGGTTGAAAAGATTTGGCTGGAGGCGTATGGGGAGATCTGTTCAGCCACAGACCCGGTTGAAACTGACCCTTAACGACTTCTCGACCCTCTCTCTGGCTGTCGGCGGCCGCGGGAGGGACGGGTTTTGAATTTCAATGTTTTTAATCCGGAATATCAGATTTTCGGCCATTTTTCACGCTCGGGAGACGCTGCGCCACAACGTGCCGGGGTGTCCGTGGGATTTTATTAATTCGGGGCCACCCTCCGTGGCGAAAACGGACGAAGGAATAGGAAAAAGATGGAAAGGAACCGGAACAGACGTTCAGACAGCCCCTTGTTTCGAACCATTGCTGTCGAACTTAGGCTTCAAGGAACATATTTGGTTATTCCGGACGTTAAGGGTCATCGCGACTAAATTTATGTCTCCAGAGGAACGTCTTGAACGCCTGGTACCGTGTAAGACTTCCGAATAAAAGGATCTTTTCTTTATGGTACATTGCCGTTTGCGGTTACGTGTGAGCAAGTATTCGATTTGCGGTTCGACAGTGGGAATATTCCGTCATTTATAGTAGCATCGTATGTGAACATGGTCACTTTTTAGTTTAGTTTAATCATAAACGATTTTTATTGTTACGAAGTGTTCATCGGCGTACAGCACGTGATCTTGTTATGAAAAACTTGGTAGTGAATTTTAAAGAAAGTTTTTAGCCAGGTCGAACGAAAGGGCGAGTTAAAGGGAGATTAAAAAGTTTCCGACGGTTTCCCATATTTTGCCGTTTCAGACTGATTTAACAACGGGAAGAAAAGTCAGCTGAAGACAAAAGATCTCGACAAAATAAAAGCGGTCCTAATTAAATGGCTGTTCGAGATAGGGGGAGATCTTTGTCGTCGAAGAAAGCTTGGGAGAGCGAGTGTCTTAAAGCTGAACCTCCGCTGAATAAGACCTTACGTTTTACTTAAGTTTCTTAAACGCTTACTTCTCGTCAACGTCGAAATTCAATTGTCTGTTACATCGGACGAAACATTTTTCGTACGTCGTATATTTAAAATATTCTCATTTCCCGACATGATTTTGTACATAAAAAAAATTGAACGAGTCAAGAAGTTAGACATTTCTCAGAAAGAATCGAGACTGTGTGTTGCAATGCTAATTAAAATTAAATACCGTGCGCACATTTTTATTCACACCTTAAATTATTGTTGAAATTGTTGAAGCGACACGGTATTAGCAGGGAGGCACGACGTGAAATATGCAGAAGCGGGTACAACCGATGTCCAATAAATGAATCACAGCTCGCGGATGCTGGGCGACAATGGGACACGTAAACAATGAATCCTAAATTAAATTAGAAACAACTCGAAGGGACGTCAGGCTTCATAAGAGCGATAGGATATAACCACGCGACAATACACAATGGGAACACATATCGCCGTGTGTAACAAGGTGCTAAGTAGAATAACGAGGCTGCCGGTGGGCGACGGATTTTTCTGCTGCCCGCCTCGCGCTGACCTTTCACCACGATTACGCTTGCGTTTACGCGTCGCGGTAAGAAACGCTCGCGGAATGACAAGAGGGAAGTACCGCGACGTGATCTCTCGAATAACCTGGTTCCGCATAAAACGCGTTGCTTCTAAGCTTTATTTTCTCCTTTCAGAGGTTGATAATTAAAAAAGAATAAATTTGGAACATGTCTTGACACAAACCTTTTTAATCATAAATTAGAGATGGGATACATAGAACAGAGTTGGTTTAATGGAGTTACTAAAATAATCCACAATATAAAGAATTGAACGGAGTTCCAACATGAAATGTTAATGCTTTACTATTAAACATCTGAACGTACTTATGGATTTAAAATATAAATAGGAAACTCATAAATAGATAATGATACAGGAATCTCAGACATTAAGATAGTAAAATATTAAATTGTACCTAAGAAAAATGTATCATATAAAATTCACATGTCACAATTATAGATTTAAAACCAGAATAAGACCAGACCACGAAACACAAGAAGAACACTTAATTTCTGTCACGTCATTCGGGGAAGCAGCTAGTCATGGCACAAATGATAGAATCATCGGGTGGGAAACAAAATAACTGTGAAAATTTGGCATATTGTTTCACGCCTGGGGCGTTTCGGTCGTCAGCTTTCTTCGCCGGAAGTAGAAAATATTGCCGAGTTCCCCCGGAACTTTTGAAAAGGGGGAGGACATCGTCGGGAGATAAGCAAGTGCTGGGGTATAATAAAGGTGTATCGATTCGGAGGCGAAACGCTTTTCATATGCAAACGTCGCGGCCGGCCATCCGTTAGGATTATTTCTTTAGATTTTCACAATCTCCTCTTTTTATATGAGAGAGAGATGAGTCACCCTTGCAGAAGATGCAGCCGATAGAGGAAGGCATCTATCATGACGTATAGATTTCCATTATTAGGTTTGTGAACGGGAACGAGTAGAAAGCGAACGACAGTAATTGCAAATAAAATATTTATTCGGGTATTTAATTTCTAAATCAATTGATGCCAATTGGAATTGTTTAAATTCTTAATCAATCTACTGAGATCTAAATTGTCCTTCCTTACTTCTTTATGTCTAACAATTTTATTCGTTTAATGCGTTTAACGGTACGTGATTCAAAGTTAAATCTACCAATAGGGTATCGCAGGATCAAACGAACAATATGGCCCTGCACGAATCGCGGCCCTCCGGTTGGGCCTCGCGATGATAGTGACCGAACGATTTTCCTCAGAAATTGCTCGAGAAGATTGGCCCGCGCGACGTTTACGAGCAAATTGTTCGGAACGGCATTGTTTAACGACTAGCCAAGCCATGGTCATCCTACGAATACTTCCTTTCAACCCTTTCACGGAAGATTTCACACGAAACCTAGCCACCCTTCGTCGGAGCAGTTTCAGCAAAATAATTTTCCGAATACACTCCTGCCATCATATCCATTTTTAGATACAGCTTTCAAGGTTCTGCATCGCATTCCATTTCTACTTCTAAATGCTCTTCAAAATTGAAATATGTTATCCCAATGCGATTACATTACATAAAGAATAGTTATGGATATCACGAATATTATTAACTTTCACTGATTATCAATTGTTACCAAAATTTTAACCAATTCATAACCACTGGGCATTGATATTCACATGAGAGATGAAAATTTATTTCGCCGAGGAAATCTTTTCGCTTTTCAACGGTGCACATCTGCCGTCGGTGACGTAACGAGACACGCACATGCAGACACGTACCGTGTGCACGGACACACAAAGGGCTTTAATCCAGAATGGCGTGTGACAATATTAAAATATCGATTAGCCAACGTATGCGGCGTATGCACTTTGTCCTACGTACAAGGGTTGCACTTAAAAGGGACAACGCGAGCCGACGCGGCGTCGCATCCAGGTAGACAGATTGTAGGCGATTTTAATCAGGGATCAGCTCGCGCTCACCGAGAGTGACCGATTGAAACTAGCCGCATTCAATGCACAAACTCCCGTACAAAAGTTTTATCCAGCCCTCGTACTTCTAATCTTCTGATTCTTTTAATCTTTTGTAGTTTCGATTAAAAAGATTAAATGTATGTAATTAATAGAATTTTAAATTTTCTTCTCCGTCCATGAGATTCATGTTCAGATCAAAAACTGTTCTTCTTATATCCAATGCAGTTCTTTGTGACTCGCAGATATTTTACATTTTATTCGTCGTGGTCACTGTAAATATGAAACGCTGTTGGTCAGAGTATTCTTGAAGGCTTTATGTCTCTGTCCGACCGCAAACACCAACAGCGGACCACGGTGCCCATTAACTGTTCCTTCTCGTTCGCAAAGAAACCAGACGAAAAAGAAGCGGCGGGCGAACATCGTTCCTCGGCTTGAAATAACAAAATTTCGAGAGCCGTGACGCGTGCCAAAAATATTGCACCACTTTCCCCGGCTCTTCTTTGAACATTCTCGCGTTATTGCCTTTAACCTGGTCGAGTTCATCCGCCAATGCTGCGGCACGCCGCACCGGTTCAAGAAAGAAACAACCCGTGGAGGAACAGACAAAGAGAAGACACGTTTATCTTGGCAGTTTGAAACGTTTCACGGGCCGCATTATTGAAACGTAGCTGCTTGCCTGCTTCTCTTTACCAGTGACAGTTTAATTGTCTCCGCAGAACTTCTATCCGCAAGAAGAAGACAAATGAAGTTGCCGCAAGTACATTTTGTGACGAGTTTTCGCCCAGGAAAATTAGAAAGAAAACGAGAAGAGAGAGAGAGAGAGAGAGCGCTCGTGTAAGTTGAAAAATGGAACGTGGCAGTCGAGCGCATCGAAGGGCGTTAATTTTGAAGGAATTCCTTGAAGCATGTAACGAAAAAGTGAAGATCGTCACGCGTTAGGAATGGAAGGAAGGAAGTCTGGATCCTTGAAAAGTCTAGCAGAAAAGCAGCCAGGACGTAAGAAACGAAGATCGTCCCACGTATTGGCAGCGCCGGCCGATCCAGTGTATCACTTTTATGTCGTCCTCGTTGACTTCCTTCCCCGGAAAGAAAGCGTGGGGGAGAGGAGGTGGGAACGGAAGGGCTGCGAGAGAGCCTCGAAACCCTGAGATACAACCAATTCGCAAGCAATTCTCGCTTCGCCTCGGGCGGTCCGCGAAGACGAGGGTGACGGTCGAAGGTAGAGGAGGACGCAACGCGAGAGGCAGAAGAAGTGGAAGAGGAAAAGATTCCGGAAGGGGATCGGCATAAAGAATCACGGTGGAAAAAGCTCGGCGGCCGCGAACGAGAATTAATATTCCAGACAAACGTGACAGATAGATCAAATCTGCATCTCACCGGGGTACACCGGTGTCAATTTCGACGGATTATCGTTTCTCGTCTCGACCTCTCCGCAGCTTCCGTTTTTCTCCGTATAACGTCACTGTCAATCTCCTCGGGTTCTTTTCGCGACACCCGCGAGGGAGCCTTTTGTTTCGCGCATACGCTTAAGGACGTATTGGCTATACAGTCAATCCCAAAAGTTTATGTACCTTAGAAAAACGCATTTCCTATAATTAAAAATAAAAATAGTGCATTCTTCTTCTAATTTCGATATTTAATGAGTTACACATGATTATTTGGCATTTTATTGATGTTGACAAAATCCGACCATTCCACCGTCAAAACGGCGAACTTTTGGCAAAAAATTTAGTTTTTCCTCAATTACTCCTAAACCGTTAGTTATACGGGAAAATTGCAAGAGAGCTTTCTTGTAGAGGACGACGAGATCTACAATTTCCATGTAAAAATTATTCGCTAGCATCAATAGTTTACGAGTAATTTGCAAAAAACTGTTTTTTCGTTTTTTCGTTAATGTATGTTTTTAATATAAGTGCTTAGGAAAAGAATTAAAATTAGAATATCTGGACGATTTCCATAGTTAATTTAATACATCTTTGTCTTCTATTCTATGATATTGTTCATTAAGGTAAATTTAAAACTGATTTCTATTAACTTGTTGTTGCTTTCGATATATTAAGTATTTTTGCATAATCCATATTTCATTTAATGAGCAGTGCATACATTTGAATAATATTAACATTTAAAAAACTTTATTATATAGATTACTCATTTCTATCTCATGTGATCATAACAAATTTCAATAAAAACGATATATCTTAAATTTCAGATGACTAAACTATTGGAGTGGCTCTTATTTGCTACTTTATTCTTTAGCATATGGATCACTGCAATTACAGAAAGCATTAATTTGTCTTTCATTATAGAATTAAGAGGAATCATCCTTGTTCTTCCATTCATTGTTTTATTGTTATTTGGACTGTATTCAGCTATTGTCATTTTATATAGAGTTTTCACGTTCAATAATTGTGAAAGTGCTGCTGTAGAATTACAAGAAGTAAGTTCCAAAATGAATATACATTTGGTGACAATTCGTAAGAAAACTTGTAAAACGTATACATTTTTTTATAGGAAATAGAGGAAGCTAAGAGAGACCTCCAAAGCAAAGGTGTCGTTCTAAAGAGCAAATGAATCTGTATGTTCCTATATAATTCAAGCTGTATATTGCGACATGACGAATTCATTTATGTGGATTATATTGGTACACACGTTTAATAACGAAGAGTAAAAAAATTATAAACAGCATAAAATCGTTTGTCTCTTGATAATAAAGAATACAATATTTTAATATCTGTTTAATCATACATATATTCGCATAACAAATGGGGAAACAAATGCGTTATACATATGAAGGCGCAATTCTACACCTATACATATGCAATCATATTAAATGTACAAAATGTGGTTCTATTAAGCTTTCTAGAACGAATTGACTTACTTAATTACACTAAAAATGAGTGACACTGACAGAAATTCAAATACAATCTTTCCTTGATCTTGTATCATTTAATGTCAGAATATGGATTACAGATGTTTTAACTGCTACGTTAACAATTAACGAGAATTGGAGTGTATTTTATTTAAAAATTAAAATGCCATTGTTAACTCGAATTTCTTTCAATCAAACTAATTAAATGATTCTAATCCTTAATTACTATTTGGAAGTTATTGGCAAAAAACGAAAATTTGGAAGAAATTGAAGGGGTACCCCTTGGAAAAATGTCGGAAAAATCGAAAATTTTTTTTTGTCGTTTATTATTAGCAATGTTCTTCCGACGTGTGATTTCTTTTTAAAAAATGCGTTTCTAAAGTGCATAAACTTTTGGGATTGACTGTATAGCCAATACATCCTTAAACTTACTTCTATCTGAAGAAAAGGATTTATAGCTAGATTCGTCATCGTAAAAGAATTATTGAACCTTTCAGTTGATATGTAATCTCGTTATTTTCAACTAAAATTGTGCATCTCGAATATATAATTTGGAATTTCGATTTTCAATCTCATCGAACTTGAGCAATGAGAACCATTATAAAAATCTAAACAAAGAACAGTGGAGAGGACTCTACTTCTGCTCCATGGTGCGTGTCAATCGTCTCCGAACCACGGTTACCTTACCTGGACAGATACAACGCGGTGTCACGCAGTTACGCATCCGTACCGGTCCACGAATGAATTTATGGGGAAGCGTTCGCGTGCGTGCTCGTGCGCACCACGTAGCCAGACAATAGGACGATTCTAATTGGGCTTTTGGACGTGGCCGGTCGATGACAAAAAACTGGACAAAAAAGGCGACGAAGGGGGCTTATCCGGGGAACAAGCCGTGGACGAGTCGGGGGATGAGCACGCTGGACCCGGATGGGGTTAACTCTCTCTCTCTCTCCCTCCCCCTTATTCCAAGTATCTGTACAGCCTACCAGGAAAGGGGGTCGCCTGCCTCGAACACGTTCCACGGACCATGATGAAATTTTAAAGAGACACTGGTGTGCGCTCGCACCGGGTCAACAAGCAGTTATGTAATTATGATCGTTTGCATTATGATCACCCTTTGGCCGCGAATCCTGTGGTTTGCCCGCGACGGAGGATCATCCTTTCGAGTGTGAAAAATCTTTGAATTCGGTGAAGTTAGGGACAGATCATTTTAATCCGGGTGAAGCGGTTGAGGGTGTTTGATTTCTGTTTAATCACATCCTCGACTGCATCCTCTTACTTATATGTGCGATGAATATTTAAGCAGACGGGGAATGGGAGTAATTTGTTGGTTGCGGGCTTTGCTTGTCGGGAGTTAATTGGAATTATCATTGGAATCTGAACCTGGGGGAGAAGTAATGAGATACAATTTAATGTATTGTACTAATGAGCGATAAATAGTTTGTTATACCTTAACCGTAATTAATAACGTTTTGCTTTTTGATAAGCGTACGTGCAATGAGTTCTTGAACAGATATGAGATTGTTATATAACTAGCGAGCGAAAGAGTTCTCAGTATTATTTACAATTATTTTTTGTTGGGTAAGATCCAGGGACAAACATGTTAAAAATAATTAATAACAGAGAATAATTCTTAGAGGAAACGATATGTAGTTCACTACATCGAACGAAACTCAATTGGAATCATCCCCCTAATTTTTAGCTACAGTCAAGTGTTAGCAGTTAATTTAAAAATATATACAATTCGACATTGTTTTCCGATGATAATCGCATCCATTGAACAATTATTCTGTTAGATCCTTTTCTTCGCACTTTCCCAATAATGGTTTTCAACTGAGCACAATTAAGATCGAATAATTCTTAAGGTGACACTATGTCGGATCGTTCTAGTGGACGTGATAATATTTGCAAAAGCGAGAACACGCTAATTGTAAGCTCCATCTACCTACTCTCCTTATTCTTCTTCTTTCCTCGGCCCTCTTCCCTTTTTTTCCCCTTTTTCCTTCCGATGCAAAACAGGGCGCCCGCGTCAATTTGCACAGGTAAGCACCGAGTTAAGAATCTCAAAGGCCGCGCTTTCAATTCATCAAGGGCGTCGGGTCGCATGAATTTCGTTCGAAGCCGCGTCTTTGAAGTTAATCGGAGTAAACCACGTCGCGTCGCGCCTTGCCCATGCTGGCGTTGATTCGAATCGACGAGTAGGTGCGAAATTGAAACCATCTCATTCTATTCCCACCACTATTCACTCATCGGACATACTGATTTTTTACAAATATCGAAAAATTCATAATTCGTAAATAGACAATAAGCAGAAATTGTATTAAAATTCATTTTGCGAATGATCTTTCGAACAATTCAATAAGTTGCGAAAGTTAGGGGTAATCAAAACTTTTATATTGGAATAGGAAATCGACTCGACAATTGTGCATCTGTCTGCAAACGTTTCCTAACAACTTAACACCTAATATAATTCCCTCACGAGCACTCGAAACCGGAATCAGATGATCGGCGAGATTAAAAAATAAAACTAATTACGCGACTTTCCCTCGTGGACGACCGTCGAAAAAGCAAACCCGGGGACGTTCGCACGTTAAAACTTTCGACAATGCGGTCTCCGATAAAAAAGGGTCACGAGGGGGAGGGTAGGGACTATGGGGGCAGGTTCACCCCAATCCCCGAGCGAGCTCTTTAAATTCAAAAATCGAATCTGCCGCGGCTATTGTCCATGCTTGTTGAACCACGATCGACATCACATGGCAGCCCGTAACTGTACTTTAAAAACTCCCTTTCTCTCTTTCTTTCTCGCCCCCTCGGCCAGTCCGAATCCGAAACCAAAAATTTCACGCAGCAGATGACAGTTGTCCACGACCGTTGATAGCGAGTTTCCCCATTTCATTTTCGTTGCTTTGCTCAGATGCGTTTCAATTTATTTATAAAAGTTAATTTTATATGAAGTTATATTTATATTTAGGATAACTTTGTTAGTTCTCTGCTGATATTATTTTTCTATCGAGAGAGCAGCTCGGAAGTTCTATAGAATGTGAAAGCGCGGCAAGCATTTGTTGCCGGAACACACGCGATTTATTTATAGAGGCTACCTTGACTCGAGAGACTCCCAAACTCCAAGTGGAACATGTCAAGACACCACGAGGCATCTTTAACGTGTATGAATTATAAACGTGCCTGATAAGTATCGCAAACTTTGGTACACAATTTTTATTAAACTTTGCATCAAATCAAAACTTCAATATATTTCTCTTAGCAAAATTCTACTGAGATTCTCAGTGGAACTTTGTTGCAGTCCTTATTGACATCGTTATAATCGAATCGAGGAAGTACTTACCGGAATTGACTGTGTTCGTATCCGCGTCCACGGATTCGGTCTTGGGTTTCTTGGGCAAGTCCTCCTTGTCCTTGTCAGATGGTTCCGTTCGTCTTTTAGGCGTCGAGCTCGCGCTGGCTTTTAGCTCGATCGGACTTCCAGCGTCTGGACCAGGAACCTGAAGCGTCGGAGGGCTCTCGAGCCTGCCTCCGCCCCTCTTGTTAATGGGGGCCGAGATGCTGGGCACGGAGTTCAGCTTCGAGTCCTGGTCGACGGTCTTCAACGCGAGCGGATCCTCCGGGTCGGAGTCTTCCGGCGCCGCGGTCGCCGGCGGACTGTGACAACCCTGGAGGGTGCTTCGACAGTGGTTCACCTTGTGCTCGATGAAACGCACGATCTCGCCAAGGGGGTACGACACCCTGCAACCCCCGCATTGGACGGTGTCTGGGGACGTGGTGCCTTGCGAGGTTTCCGCTGAAACATGAAAACATTCGTCTCTTTTAAACTCATCTCTATGAAATGTATCCGTCGTGTTTTTAATTCCATCATTTTTATGTAAAATCATTTTTTGTAATATGACAGCTACCCAATTTTTAAATATTTTTATTGACTGTAGGAAATATCTGTATTTCTGAAAAGTTCATTAAATTGATTTTTTGAAATCTTTTCACTGCGTGACAACAGCGTCCAGTCCTCATCGTGAGAAGGAACCACACACATGTTCATACGAAACTAAACAGAGGACACTCTTAAGAATTCGCTCGAGGCTGCAAACACTTAAGATAAAAGGACACTTGTAGTTTTTCTCTTGAACTTATGTCCTAGACCACCCAAGGAAATCTTGTTATATTTTATTCTGTCACTCTAGCCTTCTGTATTTATATTTCGATGAAAACATAATTCTAATTTTTCGGCAGAACTGCATTTTGATTTAATTATAGAAATTTAGTAGAACATTTATCGATTACCAACAGACTTCTCATATTTTATGTCTCAGAATAATCGAATCCCATAATTAAACCAGTCGTATAATTTATTTACAATTCCTTGAATTTAACAAATTTGTAAATATCAAATGCAAAGTATAATTCAAACATGGTATAAAACTTGCATTTAACCCAATAATAATTATTGCCATCAAGAATATTTTTCACAGGTCAAGAAGCCAAGACACAAGGATATAATTAAATCACTTCAGCATGCATTGCTCAATTCTCGTGTATACATAAAGAGTAGCAGGGAAATTTGGTTAACCGTAGGAAAACGCGAGTGGCTCTGATATAGAGATCTAATTTCCTTCTCCGCGAGTCTTATAATTCACCGTAGTTCGAGGGGCTAAGGTCCCAGGGTCAGCCGCAGACGTAACAATTCACTTTTAAGTGTCCTCCAACAGACCTCCTGGCAGACATTCCTCGCGGCTTCTTCGCTTCCCTGTCCTCTGCTTATGCCTCGGTCCATTAACATAGAGATTGGCAGAAGCTTCATACATCGATCTCTCCCCCGAGTCAAGTATCCATATCCATCCGAATAGGGCCGGTACACTGGCGTAAAAATAACGAAACCCCACCGCTTTGTCGTTCTGCCTATTGTCTACTTTTCTTCTTTGTCTTCTACTTCTTCATCTTTCTTCTCCTTTTCAACTCTCTGCCAATTATCTCCGAGTATATCAAATTCTATACTTTACCAAATGGTTTTCAATTGCAATAGTGTTTTTAATTTCTGATGAAACATCCAGATGTTACAGAATTTCTGTTATGTAAATATAAAGAAATATTGATTCCACGTTAAAACTAGTTCTGAACTTTACTGGCGTCGCAATGGGATAAATATTTTATTGTTTGATTACGACCCGTTGTGTTTCTATTTAAAATGAAGTATGTGATTTGTTCAGGTCGTTTTCCTTTTACATTTTCATGTATGCGCGGACACCGTTCGATTCTTTCGGGGCGGAGCACAGGTTGACCAGTGGCCAGCGCGCAAACTCAGTTCAGCCAGGCATATGTGCTATCATTCTTCACTGTGAATGTCAAATTACAAATAACCCGAGACAAGAAAGGTTTTCCACAAAACATAATTTACGGGCAAAAATGGAGTCTTTCTTTAGTTCATAAAAATGGTATAGAAGGAAAGGTAAATAGAAAAATTCGTTCGAATTCGGACACCCGACCCTCAGATAATATCATACCTCCAAGAAAGAAACATTCCAAGTACACCGGAAGGACTCATACCTGGATCGAACGGGAAGCAAGATAATTCTACTGTGCAGAACCTGACCAAGACAATCCCCTAAGGGCATACAAGATTTTAATCGTTCGTCCAGCATCTTCATCCTAAAAAAGCGTCCAATAACGGGCAGAAGCAAGCATCCAGCCAAAGGATACATTATACGCAGTACTATTATGTCCTAACTGTGAAACCTTCAACGAAGGACTGACTGAAAAAGCGAGAACGATCGTGGACAAGGGAGGAAATGACGAAAGAAACTCGCGGTGGATGAAGAAGAGGGCCTGAGAAGGAAAGAGAGGGAACGGCTATCGCTGCGAGAGCGGAGACAGAGACGGGGCCTGAATGGACTACGGACCGGGGCCTCCGGGTCCGTTATTCGCCTACGATTGAAAAGCGCTCGCTTAGAAACAAGAGACGCGCGACCGGTCGTTAACGACAATGGGCTTTTGTTTTTTCGGGGGCAGATGTTGGACTGTGGCTCGGTGGCTGCGGCGAGGGGTACCCGAGCCAAAGGAGGGAGGAACAGAGACGGAGAGGGCCCGTAAGTTACGCAGTGCTACCCCTCTTCTGGCACGGTATTTCGACGAAGGTGAGCGCGAAGGAGGACCCCGAGCCCGACACGTGTCCGCTCCTCTCTTCACGGTGAATCTCCCTTATGCATACACGCACGCGTCACTTTTGTAACCTGTCCGCGAAACCGGTCCGAAGTAGATACAACGACTGTCGTCGGATGTTTATTCATTTACCGGCTCGTTCCGCGTTCTAAGAAGAAATTACCGGCATGAGTAATTGAGAGGTTTTTAATAAAAATGAACCTTCTACAAAAAACATCACAATAACTGTACCTCTTGGCACAGTATTCATCATATTACACAAACCAAATCTACAAAAAGACATTGGTTCTCCACATAATTTCTATTCTTCTGTCGATGACTCTGATAAACTAAAAATGTTTTATTATCTCTATCAACAAATAAGACGAACTTCGATCACGTAGTTAAGCAGATAAAGAAATAGCTTTAATGTTTACAGTTTCGTTTTGATTCTCTTAACGTAAACGCTTTGAGAGAAAACAAGGCTGGCCGCGAATGCCTGGGAAGATGCCGCGAACAGCGGAGAGAAGATAACATAAAAATACGATATTGGCCCGCGAATGTAAGTTGGATTGCTTACAAATTGGCCCATACATCTGTAATGCCTCGATCAGTGTACCGCGTGACTCTCCCTTATTGCGGGAGATACTTCGTAATTTCCATCCACGAGTGGAGGCAGGAGGGGTAGGTAACAGTCAGATGCGTATAGGAACCGCTGCAGGAAACGTCCCGGGGTTATTAGTCCTCCCACATTAATTTTCTTCTTTCTTCGTTTCAGCTGAAATAGATGAAACGTTCGATTTCGTGCCGATCATTCACGACGATCTTTTATATTAAATCCCGAGCCATTTTCTCCTCTTGATCATTCGTTCCTCGATTTAATTAATTCCGAATCGAAATGGATCGTCCTTAACTTGCCGAAACTTTATTTTACAACTGTGCGATTAAACTGGTTACCAAATAATTGTTCATAAAACAGCAAGAAAGTTTGATATCAAACTGTAATTCCCGTACGCGAAAACGGTTCTCGATTACCCTGGAATGTATCTATTCATGAGTACCAAACGTCGTTTCTTCGCCGCGAACAATTCCCCGCGGATCAAATCTTCGTAAAGCAATTATCAAACTTAGCCTATTCCATTTTCAGAAAACAAAAAGCAACTATAACAGTTTTACAACCAGTCATTACATTTCCAATCACTACAATTCTTCCAGGTTCGAATCACTCGATCTTCGATTTTCATTGACCGCACACGATTCCTAGATTCTGCACCGTTCAACTAGTTCTTTCCGAGACACATTTTCCACGCGCTGGGATACAAACCGACGTCGTCGTAACATGTACACGCTGCCAGACAGACGCACGAGCACACACACGGGGAGATAAATATACGCGAGGATATCCCGAGGCGGTTTCCTTGTTAGGACATCCGTCCTGTCAAAACGTCCAGAGGACACATCGGAGCAATTGAATTACGATCATCCCCAGGGCGAGCTCCGACCGTAACCAATAATTCCATTATCCATTAGTATTGGGTCGCGGCAATTTCCTTCGGCGAGGAGCCGAGGCAACGGACGCGAGCGAACGCGTACGTGTGCCCGCTCTTCGTCTTCTCGAACCGCGAGATACCCAGCCAAATCAAGAGATCCGATGGATTTCTGGCACACGTCGCCGGGAATATCGAAACCTCCGCGCGAGTATCCGCGAGATATTTTCCCGATAATGGAGACCGCGTCCCGATCAAATCGACGGCGCTCGTCGAGGCAAAAGCCGCCTCTGGAATTCGACGAGCTTCAGCTTGAAAATCTCGATACGTAGAATACATCGGAGCTCGTAAATGATCGATCTAAGAACTGACTTGTAATCATGAATTAATTGCTACAATACTTCTCTGTTAGCAATTATTATCAGTTAATCGGTTTTAATTTCGTTAAATTATCTCGAAAGGAATTGAATAATTCTGAAGTAATTTGATTGATGTATCTCGGTTTCATTTAGAGAACTCTGCTAATTGGAGTCAATCGACTCTTGTAACTCAATAGAAATCTCGTTCACGTCATTAGCTTCATTACTCGTGTCACGAATCACTTGCGAATTGATCGGCGTTCAATTCTATGAAATTCCATCACACGTACGTGTCATGTACTCCATCACAAAACCATTCCTCACTTCCCAAAAACAAAGAGAATCGATATTCTAAAGAAGAATAACCCTCTCACGGTTAGCCCTGGTTGTTTACCTTTGAACGCCATTACGCGTCGGTCCGCGGCGACGATTTCCATGATGCGACGTTTCCGTACGCGTACCACCATCGGTTCGTCCGAAAGGCACTATTGCACGCGATCGTGATTGAGGAGCCGACGTATAACCGATCGTCGCCCTTGCAATTAATCGGTTAATTAGCCAACGGACGAACGGGTTGTAATCGCGATCGATCAGGGCGGAGAAGATCTGGTTTCTCTCATGCTCGGATGCTGACTGGACTATTGGGCCCCGTGCAGGGACGGTAAAGGGCCCCGGCGACAGGATATCAAAAGAATAGAAAGGACCTACCGGCGCGTCCTTTCAATGGTGGGGGCAATTTTTATACGAAACCCCCACTTTTTCTCTTCCTCTCGTTCATCGTTACGTCTCTTCTCCCATTTTCCTTTCTC